AATTAACAATTGTTTAGAAATGACAAATGCTTATAAAGAACTGTAATATTTCATATGTAAATGCACTATTTTATACTTAATAATGATCATAGACGTGTGCAAAATGACTTGATTTAAAAAATTCATCATTATGCGGTTATGCGGTAAAGAATAGGTCTGTATGGAAATGGGAACTAAATACTGTGTGAAATACTTGATAAAAGTAACGCAAAAGATAAAATATAAAGTAATAATTGAGACAAAAATATTTTTTTGAGTGTCCAGACAGAGAATTTCAAATAAAGAAAAAAATCTTAATATACGTACTTAGAAAAAAACATTCTCACCATGATATTATACTAGATTTAAATATGTTACGCAGTAAAACTGCAAAAAAAAAATGTTTTGCCATCAAATTACATTATATTTCCTAATAAATTAAACCAAAATCAGAACTTCGGCAAGCTTCGGCAAATGTCAAATCTCCAACTGAAAGTTTGAAAAAAGAAAATGATACATATAACGATATATGGATCTTTGGTTAAGTAATATTGTACTAAACTAAATATATTTTTATTTTATACTATAGTACACATTCTAAGCATTCTAAAATGGTATCACACTATACGATTTCTATTGATTTGATACTATAAAATTATACCAAACGAAATTTAAGTTTCATAATTATTTTTGTATTTTTTTCATTCCTTGACTTTAGATGCTCTGTTCTATGAAGTATGAATAGTGACAGATTTGAATCATATTTATAATGATAGAGTAACTCTTTAGCTACAATTTGAGGTATTATACATGCATATCCACGGAGTTTTAGAAAAAGTATTTATGAGATGGCTTTCTTAGGCGAGTTCCCACTGTGCGACCTTCACGCGGTTCCCATGGAAACCAAATTGTGTTTTTTATGGATGATAATGGTTGGTTACTCCGCCTGCGTTAATGGTATATGTTGGCAGGACACCAGTGAGGGATGAAAGGTGAGAATGAAAAGGCAGGTTTAGCCAATCGTGACGAATACATCTGAAATTCAACAGGATGGTTTCCAGGGCCCCCCTAGGTCAGTTAGCTCATCGTGATAAATACACCTGGAATTTAGCACGATGGTTTCCATGGCTAGCAATGGGGCTGATAATTTGCATTAATAACAATCCCCAACCAATAGACCTGCTTTCATTCTCATCCTTATCATTTCTCACTGGTGCTCCGTCAGCGTATACCAATAGCGAAGACGGAGTTGGCATTCCATGTTAACCCATTAAAAAAGTCTTGTTGCGTTCCAGTCACGGTCAATCCCGAACTGTTTCTACTTATCATACAGGGATTGAACTTAGACTGATAGTGTGTGTTTTTTTTTATACAACTTAGAATGGCAAACAAGCTGACGGCCCACCTGATGAAAAGTGGTTCCGGCCTAACAGTCGGACATTTTGTAAAGTTCATGCCCATATTATTTCAAAGGTTTAAATACAATAGTACATTAAACATACAATGTTAAAAGAATATAATTTTCTATTGTAACATAAAACTAGAAATAGCATTCTCCGAATACCACCACATTTATCTAACAGTCTACTGAGGTACCGAACAATGAGAAAAATACTCAATAATACTTGTCACGCGAATGAGCACTCTATTGCTTGCACATAAGGGTGACAATACGCGACACGTTTTTAATTACCTTGGGAACTATGTCGCACTAACAATACTTAGGTGATAATGGTAATTATGTACTTAGCTACTAAAATATTGCTCAATAAGTTCATTACGCTCACCACTATAATCTGAAATGTTTGTTTTATATATATATATATATATATATATATATATATATATATATATATATATATATATATTTTTTTTTTTTATTTTAGGGATTTTATTCTAAACTAGCTGTTGCCCGCGACTTCGTCCGCGTTTCTGTCGTTTTTCGTAAAATAAGTAGCCTATGTCCTTCCTCACGGTTCAGAGATTTTGATGTAACAGATACATTTCCCTTCATTTCTCTACTCCTATTGATTGTAGCGTGATGAAAAGTATAATATAACCTGCCTAGGAGTATGAAGAATAATTGTATCAAGTTTCGTTAAAATTCGTCAAGTAGTTTTTGTTTCTATAACGAACATGCAGACAGACAGACAAAAATTTTACTGATTGCATTTTTGGCATCGATCACTAATCACCGCCTGATAGTTATTTTGGAAATATATTTCATGTACAGAATTGACCTCTCTACAGATTTATTATAAGTATATTGCCGTGTAGTCGCGACAAAGAATCATCCACTACTTCCCTTACCGTGGATGTCGTAAGAGGCGACTAAGGGAACTTACTAAGCAACTAACGACGGTTGCCAGCCCGCCTGCCAAATGTGGCAAGTACTGGCAAAACCCACGTCAGTCCTTTTGTAATCTGTGATAGTCGCAGTTTTTTTATGATACTTAAAACAGCAAACAATTTAAAAATAGTAACCGTAGCTTATATCTGTTAGCTTATAGCCGTGTAGATCCATGTAGATCCCAGCTTAGAATGCTAAGCCGCGATCTACACTGCTAAAATCACCACCCCTTTCTTCCCCGTGGGTGTCGTAAGAGACGACTAAGGGAACTTAATAGTAGAGGGATGGGAGCAGCGTCCCTCTTAAGAGATTACTAAAAACCTAACTGCGGTTGCCAATCCGCCTGCCAAGCAAGGCAACTACTGGCAAAATTCCTCTTCTGGGGGAAACCTATGCTCAGCAGTGGGCAGTTAACAGCTAATATGAATATGATGAATAGACAGAAACGACACCATGGACATCGCAGATCACTGTTATGCTCATGGTACATGCGTTGCCATCAACATTCCTGGAGACTATGGTATTTTGGCATAGTATCTTATAATTGCACTGGTATATCCTATTCTTCAAACAGATACACAGCTATACAAACATAACTGCTTCACGGTAAAAATACGAGTAGGCCAAAAGTACCCATGGAGATAATTTCTATACCAGAGGGCCTACTATGAAATGTTTTCCGAAATTTCGGAGCCAAACGAAACAGAAATTTGATGTTAAAATTACATAATACATGCCGTTTGGAAATATTAAAAATGTTAAAATATTGTTCCTTTGGATTTTTATGATAGGATGTATGACGAAACGAAATGTTAAACTCCATTAATTGGTTCGATTTTGGTATAAACAAAAACACGAAATTGAGTCCGAAATTTCGGAATTTCATTTCATGGTTTCTCTATAGTGACAAGCATTCATCATTTCAGCCAATATTGTCCAATGCAGAATTATCGTTCCTCAATGTATCGCGAGAATGGTGTCAAGTTATTTTGTAAAAGCTAAAACTAAAAATATCAAACTTAATACCCTGAAATAATTATTTTAATCGGTCCAAACATGAAGTTACCGCAATTTCAATGCAGTAATACGAAAATCGCGTGCGATGGCAAACTACTGTGACGTCATCTTACTGATAAAATTATAACTAGAGTATATCTTTATTAATAATATAGATGTGAAAGTGAGTTTGTTTGTTAGCTTGCCTTCACAGCTTAACCAATTACTATGAAATTTGGTAGACACTTACTATATGGGATGGAGGGATACAGGCTACTTTTTATTCTGGTCAGTAAACATATCCCGGTCAAGCGGACAAAGTCGCGGATAAAAGCTAATAGATGATATTTAAAGCCAAAACAAAAAATTGTAGAATTTATATTTGTCTGTCAATATGCTTGTCACTCAAAAACTACTGTACTGTACCAAATTGGGTGCTGTTTCCACAGTTTTGTTCGTGAAAGGCTAATTTAAAATCTGGTGTATCTTTTATCTTGATACGCCATCAAGAATTGGTATATTACATAGGCTCTAAAAACGCGTATGAAGTTAGCAAGATACTGATATAAGCTAGATACTATACTGAGGTGACAAACAAGCATACGACCCACCTGATGGTAAGCGGTTACCGTTGCCTATGAACGCCTACAATACCAGAGGTATTACGTGCGCGTTGCCGTCCCTGAAGAAACCTCTTTACCCCCTTTTGAAGAACCCCATGCTGTAGTCTCTTGGGAAAACCTCGGCAGGGAGCTCATTCCATAACCTGAGTGTTCGTGGGAGAAAACATCTCTGAAACCGCGTTGTAGGCGACCATTTAGGCTGTAAGGTATGAGGGTGAACTCTCTGTTGATGACGAGCCGTACGATGATAGAAAGTGGCCGTAGTTATAGTTATATATAAGTTAATATGATATATTCTTCACAATGCACCCTCATCTGCAGCGAGCATGCGTCATACAGTTGATATTATTTATCAACATTCATTATTCGTTTTAGTGATAATAATATCAAAAATCAATAATATGACTTTTAATCATTTAAACCTAAAAAAAATAATTTTATTATGAAAATATCTAACCGCAATCACAATTGTAGTTTGTGTTAAAATTTTGAAATTAGAAATATAATAAATAGACAAATGCATTTTTGCTTATTTATTACTAAAATAGTGGATGAAATATTTAAATAAATGCATTTTATAAATGAATTAGTAATATATAAAATTTGACATTTCGCGTTATTAACACATTTAAAAAAAAAATAAGGTAAAAGGTAAATAAATACATATATATTATAAATTGACCTTTTGCATGAATGTGTTTATTATATTTCTTGGCATAAAATAGTAAATACCTAATTATTAATGTTACTGTGATTAATATTTCCTTATTATAATTATTTATTTTTTAAATACATAACTAACACAGATATAAATATAATTAATTATTTAAATGACTCACTATAACAATTATTTAACAATAACAATATTTCTGTGGTGTTCCTTAACTGTGGTTAAAAACCAGACCGCAAACTCAATATTATATATGAAAGATTTTTAAAATTAAATTAAACATGCAGATTTTTTTTAGGTTTGAACTTATTATTTTTTTATAAATAAAATCAAAATTACTAACAAGTAAATTTATCAAATTGCATAGTTTAACAATAATTACCTGATGATATGAGGCCCACATTATCCTGAGGAGGGGCGTTCATCATTACTGCCAATGTCAAACTGAAATTAGAGACGTACAAGTGAATTAGAAATGGTAGAATGGTAGAATTCATATTAATTAATGAATTTAAAAAATCACCTCTCGGTAACTTGATTTGAGGGTATTCAAACCTATATTTTTCTGCTACCTTAATTTTATCAGACATAAGAATATTTCTAACCTTATAGATATAAACTCTTTAAACAGTAGTAAAGCACTATAATAGTAGTCTACACTTTAATATTTTCTTTTTTTTTTTATATATAACTTTAAATAAGCTAATGTAAGCAAAGGAAAGCAAAAAATGGTAATCATAGCCTAGCATATCATCATAAAATATATAAATATTAAAAATCAATGTATGCTATTTCATCTCTGTTAAAGTTGAGTACAACTATAACTGAATTGTAAACTTATAATGCTATTGTTATATTCTACTAAAAATAGTTTTGTTTGTAACCTGTTGATGTACCTAAAATAAATAAATCAATAGACAGCACTAAAGACATCATAAAATATAGTGAAACTTGAGGTATCCCTCATATGTTACCATTTTCAAACTTTTATCCATCTCGGAGCTATCTGACAAATATAGTCATGCCCGTACTGTCTCTGTAGAATTTATCTGACATAGAACCTAAGTTAAGATACTTACTTTTAGTTTATTCAACTGCCTATTACATTAACATGGTAATAAAAAAATATGAAATAACAACAGTTTACAATACAAAAAAAAATTATATGAGTCAACTAAGGGACACTATAACTTTTACAAAGCCATATAATCAAAAAGTTAAGAACTAAGCTGTTTGCCTCCATACACAATAATTTTACCCCCATATCAAAACACAGCACGTAAGAAAGCTGCTTCATAGCAGAAACACAAAAGAAATAGTTTTATATGTCCATTTACATTACTTTGTAATCTCTCTCTAATACTTATCAGAAGTCTGTAAAGGCAATATCTTTGGCAATACAACTTTTTAAATTACCTTTATTTACTAACACTATATATAGATATCTTGTGAATAAGTACTGTTTAGTTACTAATATTATGAAGGATTATAAAACTACCTATTACATCTGATATATAAATACGCACGGATTATCCCAAACTCCAGAGTATTGTGTAATGGACATATTGTTTATTGTGTAAACTTAACTTTTTGCAGCATTTGATTGTTAAACAATTAAACTAAAAACTTGTAAACATAAAACTTTATATAGCCATAGATTACACTATGTATTGGTTACTTACCAAATTATTTCTAAAAACTACTCGGAAACCCTTTAAAACACATTGCCGTCACAATAACTTGTGTAAGTCACAATTAAACACTATTTTCCCAAGTAAACCGGAAAGTTTTAAACAATGGTACTATCTAAATTTTATGCGAATACACTTTCACATTGGCACCATGTAGCCACCTACACAAAACAATAAACAGTTATTTTGTCCGATACATCACAATAATATACTTGCATACACTTGTAAAGTAATGGAATAACTTTGATTGAAATGCTAAAGTTTGCTAAACACTGAAAAACGAATGTAAAAAAGTATAAAATAACTTTTTTAGTGATTGAAAATACTTTGAAACTTCATTAAATTCTTCAAATCCTATCTATGTATATAGGTATCTATATATATATCTATCTATCTATCTACTAGAGTTTCCATTCACTGTATCGTACACTTTAATCGAAATAAATCTAATCGATTATTGATATCTTATAATACTTACTAGATATTTTTTAGAGGCGATAATTGTTTGATAACCCTGAATCAAAGAGTAAATGATAAAAATCACGTAAGTTCATGATCCAATTAATTCCCGTCGCTTATAAAACATACATCTAAATGAACAAATTAAAAGTGAAAAACCTTCCTTATTTTAGAAAATTATACGTCTGGCCACGTACATTTTATTTTTTAAAATAATAAATAAGTTTTCTTTAGAATGATCTTTTGAATTAATCTGTTGAAGTTATAATGTGAGATTAGACGATTATAATCGAATAGAAATCGATTTGCTAAAAGCGGAAACCCTATTACTGCTTTAGCAAAAGATAGTGATGTAACCTTCTACTCAAAAGAAAAGCGATTTGAATAAAGTTGCTACAGTCTTAAAAAGTTTTGATTTGTAGAAAGTATTTAGCAAAAACTTAACATAAAACAAAATTTTAAAGATGTTAGTAAATGCGTCCTTTTTAACTATTTTAATGAAACTTTTCTTAAGATTACATAAATTGTATAGAGATATGTCGTAATATCAAATATTTATAGCGGAGATATTATTTGAAATGACATAAAATATTTATTTGCTTTCAATAGTCATTTAACATAATGAAAGTCATGTGACAGAACTTTTGGCATGTATTTAATTGTCTCAAAATAGTAGACTTGTAAGTTTAATACAATAATTAAATATGGATATGGTATTTATGACAGTGATTATTTAGAACATTTACAATTTTAAGTTTATTGTAAACTGTATCAATGTCGCAATTAGCTGTCAATTTTCAAAAGTAATTTAATATTTTTCAATGTTCCTAATTTATAATTCAAAGAATGCTCTAATTGAGAACTAAAACGCTTTTAACTAATAGAAGAGTAAAATTAAAAAAGTATCCATCAACCTTAACACATTGTAATATGAAAAATTTTGAGCATATGAACTTCAGCAGAAGATTATAACTACAGTTCAACCAATATTAATAAAATTTTATAGATTTCTATTGTACGCTAAAACTTATATTTTAACTAAATAGGATAATTTTTATTCAAATAAGGAAAATGAACCCGACAGGTTGCGGTAAAGAACAAAACAACGTTTATCAAGTCAGACAGTTTTTTTTTCATAAAAAAAAACCGTTAATTGAACATTTTTCTTACTTTAAATGTCGATATTGAAAATATTTTGTAATCCCTAGTAACCACTGATAAACTGACAACCTTCATATTGACAACTAATGATGCTTTAGTATTGCCATAGTATTATTTTGATCTTTGGTTACCATTAATTTTTAAGCAAATAAAATAAGTTAAAAATTTACGAATTAATTATAATATTTTATACTTATATTACTGTAGTAATAACTTAAACTATAGTATTTTATTTTTGAGAATGAGAGCATAGACTATCTATAATTTAGTACACTGTATTACTGACTAAACAGGTATTTATAAAATTTGTGCTATTTGTGTAATAGTACAAATTTTACACAATTAAACAAGGATCAATTGGGGGAAAAGGGATTGTTAGTAATAGAGACTGAGAATCCCATTGCTAGCAATATACCCAACCAGATCGACCTCCTCGCGGTTCCCCCTGGAAACTATCATGGTTAATTCCTGATGAATTCAGAATGATGGGCTAATTGGCCTGTTTTCATTCTCATCTATCATCCTCCACTGGTGCTCCGCCAGCGTATCCCGTTAGCGCAGGCGGAGTTACCATTCCATTTTCACCCATCAAAAATAAAAAAAAATACCGTGAAAGTATGACGTCACAAGTCTATTAGAGTTGTGGGTATGCTTGTTGTGCCTGTGGCAAAAATGTACCTACATTTCCTAAAAGGGTAGATGGTTAATTAAATCTAATAATTCACATACATACTATCTTGCATAAATTAAGAATAACATCCACGGTTTTATACGCTATTTAGGAATCATAGATACTCTTTATTGTTTTCTCCAAAAGATCATCATCATCATCATCACCATATCAGCCGCCACTCACTAACCGTCCACTGCTAAATATAGGCCTCCCCCATAGACTACACCACCCAATGGTAAACTGCCATAAGGAACGGCCTCGTTCCTGATTAGGAGGATTTTGACATTAGTCGTCACGCTTGTCAGGCGGGATAGCAACCGTACTTAGGCTTTGGTGATGTTTTAAGAGGGACGCTGCTGCCCATCCTTCTACCAGTAAGTTCCCTTAGTTCCCTTTTACGGCACCCACGGGAAGAGCAGGGGAGGCCCATCCTACGCCGGGACCACACGGCAATACGGTATTTAGGAATATACCTTTTATAATAATTTTAATGCCGAATATATGTCTATATGACAATAATTTCTGAACTTATTTTCATTCTTTTTGCAATGGATAGTATTTATTTATGGTATAAATAAATACTATCTATTGCATTAAATTAATGGCGTGAATTTATAGGGTACAAAGGAATAACACCTGAGTCCTTAGGAATGGCAACGCATGGGGGGTATCATGAGTGAAACAGTATTCTCTGTTATGTACATGGTACTGCTCATGTCTATAGGCGACGGTTACCACTTTCCATCGGGTGGGCCGTCAGCTTGTTTGCAATTCTAAGTTGTATAAAAAAAAATTTTGTTATAGTTGAAGTAATTATTTTGCCTTTCTAAAAAATATTATTTTGACATCTCTTAGTCTTTTTTAGACCTCCCATATTAATTTTTCTTATATTTGGATATATCTATTTCAGACATCGTTTATTTATAATTTTATCATATAAGTAAAAAAATTCGAAAAAAGGTAAGATTGTAGCTATATACATTTGGGGTTTTTGAAAAATAAGTAGGCATACAAAATAATATTTAATTTTATTATCAAAATTATTTAAAAAGTAGTGACTCCAATTTCAATTTCATAAAAATATAATTTTATAATGATACACCTTTGGTTATTAGGTAACTATCTACAAATAGAATTTAATTTTTACATTTATTAAAGCCAGTTAAATATAATTCTATGGCTTTATAGGAGTCTAGAATAATTAGTTCTAGAAAAAAAATACAAACTTTTTTATTACAATAATAATTTTAAAACATACAGTGCCACAAGTATTTTTAAATTGATTGTAAGGATCAAAGGTTTTATTTTATGTAATAAATTATATTATTTATTTTTTATATTAGACATAGGATAGTCCTATTATAAAATTTCTTAATCTTGCATTTTCAAATATTTATTGAATTTTGCATTATTTATTTTTGATATATTTCGTCGATTTTTGCACATATATTTTTATCTACTTACATCTACATGATGTTTTTAAACTATTAAACAAATTTACATTGATTTAACGCTTTTCATTTGCACAAATTCAGTATCAAAATTCTACTTTTATTGTAATCCCTCAGCATATTATATTGCTGACATAGATTAAGAATATTGTCTTTCTACTCTTATGGCATATGCACGCATGATCTTATTTTACCAGCAAAAGGAATCACATTCCAAATTTAAAAAAATACTCCATTACAACGCAACATCTTTATATTTTCCTAGATCATCAGATTCATTGCCAACGGACGTGTGACTATTTCTGAGTCCATAAAACACTCTCTCCCTCGATCCGCTGAAGCGGTACGGTTCATGTCTTAATAAGTTAACACCATACGCCGCATCTTCTCTCTTATAATCCGGATAAAACCTCGGGTCGTATTCCGGAGGGTACATTCTATGCTCATAAGGATATGGTCTATAATATGGATAAGCCATTTCACTCTTGCAATCCATTCTGTCTTCGTAGACCTCATATTTGGACGGGTATTCATCATTATTAAAAGCTCCGACTATTGAATGGCGGCGTTTGTAAGGGTTGTCGTAAGGGCCGGATCTAGGGCCTACCCAAGTGCCATACATTTGGGGCACAGGGTATGACTTAGGGTAGCCTCTAAGGCTGGCTGCGTATTGTCTCTCAGCGAGGTGTTGCCAGTAAGCCGGAGGTGGTTGCTGAACCATCATTGGTGGGTATCCCATATTCACTGACTGACGACTCGCAAGATGGCGCCGGAGATCAGGCATTGAGCCTGATTTGCCTAAAAGAAGAAATTATTATTCGTAATTATTAAGAACTGATTAATTTAACATTTAAATTTAGAATGCATAATAATCTAGAAACCTAATTTAAGATCAACTATTTAGGTATTAATATTAATCATACAATAGTTTATGAGTATAATTATGTCTATATTAAGTCTACTACCGTTCTATCATATTACCGTTATTTACACACCCACCGTTAGAGTGTTGAACCAATTTACAAAAAAAAAAGCTTAATTACAAAAGCGCAAAGAATAAATGTGAAATATTCATATGTGATGCGCCATCAAATACATTTGCGGGCTAAGTCCGTCAGAGGTGTTATTTCTCTGTACCCTGTAAATTCACGCCATATCCCACCCTTCAAACTGAAACACAGCCATGCAAACACAACTGCTTCACAGTAGAAACACGAAATGGACAAAGGTCCCAAGCAAGTGACTTTTTTTACAAAATCTCACTCTGGTGGTCAACTCAAAAATACTTAATAAATTTTAAAAATTCTTTCACTTATAGAAAGCTGCATTATCAATTCTATCTAATGGATAAATTAATAGAATCAACCTGAATCAGGCATGAATCCATCGTTGGTGAATGCTGTCTGCACGTCAGGGACAAAGTGGCTCGCGTCGAACTCGCTACCACTCACCGCGGCGCCGTTGTTGTACCCCGTTTTCCTATAAATAATCAAATAATAATTAATAAAACACAACAAAATATGGTATGTATAGTACAATATATACTGTGGCAGATAAAAACTAATGTTTTTACCTTTAACTTTGTCGACATGACGTTAAATGATCGGTATAAAAAGTAGCCAATGCACTCCAAAAGCTACTTGTATACCAAACACAGGTACAGAGGCATAATACCTATTAAGGTATTCCTGAGGATTACCTCAGGAATGGCAATGCATGAAAGGTATGATGGGTGACACAGTATACTCTATTATGTCTAGTGTACTATTCATGTATATAGGCGACGGTTACCACATTCCGTCAGCTTGTTTGCCATTCTAAGTTCATAAAAAACATTCCGGCTAACATTGGTTGAGTTGTTAAGTTTCCAAGAGTTAATAAACAAACTCATTGTTACATTTTGTTGTTGAGAGAAGCAAGGCATAGTGAAAACGTTATTTGGTGAATAGGAACGTACGGATTTATGCATGAATTATGTCATAGAAAGATCTGATCTTAGACTGCTATTTATCTTTGACGTTTATTTTGTTTTGCACCTTTTTGCACAGACATACTGTGATTTTTTCCTTTAGTCCCTTACTACAGAATTTTAAGGTTTAAAAGAAATGGTGTCAAAATATATACTTACTACGTATAATCTAAGATACAAGATATTACATGGATTTATCTAGGAATAGATCGTATATAAAATGGTCCTTCGAACCGGATAGTATCACTAATAAGACTTACACCATACATTATTTTTAAAACATTCTTTTACATGGACTATTAATGCAATAATTAGAAGTAATGTTTGCATACGAGTACAATGTAATGTTAATAATTATTATTCAATACTATATCTGATAGATATATATTATTAATGGGACTAAATTATCGAGGGATGAGCAGCAGCGTCCCTCTTAAAACATCATCAATAACCTTACCGGCCCGCTTGCCAAGCGTGGCAACTACTGGTAAGACCTCCCTTATGGAGGAAGCCTATGTTCAGCAGTAGACACTTCACTGCTGATGTGATAACGATGGTGATAGTGTCTGATAATATATTATATAAAAATCTCAATAATAATAGTCATACCAGTCAATTTAGCTGAACTAATATTATACTATTACGTGCTTTCTAAACGTATACGAAAACTTATACACGTTATGAAGCTTCTGCGTAACGGCGCGAGCAAGAATGTTTTATTACTTGTATACAAAAGCATAGCTCAATCACTGTTGATGTACTGCATCACAGTGTGGGGCGGTGCATCAAAATCATATATGATTGCACTTGAAAGGGCACAAAGATCTGTCTTAAAAGTAATGTTTAGGAAACCAATTCGTTTTCCCACCTATCTTTTGTATCAGGAGGCTGCTGTTCTGACAGTGCGTCAACTTTATATACTTAAAGTAGTAATGATGCACCACAAATCTCCTCTCCTCCCGCAAAAACCTTCGGACCAGAGAAAGCGCAAAATAATCATCCCTCGCATTAATACTGCATTTGCAAAGCGCTTTAGTTATTATTTGTGCCCATTTATATATAAAAAACTTAATAATCTCTGCAAACTGGATGGTCTTAACAATGCGGAAGCTAAACATAGGATACAAGGATATTTACAAAATCTTGATTACGATGCCACAGAATTAATATTATATACCATTTATTGATATTCGTATATAGTAGTGTATGTCTTTAGTATATTTAATTGTATGTATTTATTTATGTAATATTAGAGTATTTACATAATTTTCTGTTTTATGCGCATGTCTTCACGAAGCACTTCATTTTAACTTGTTGCTTTCGTAAAACTGGCTTAGTATTTTAATTTAATTTATATTTGTAAACCACCGTGTCTTGGTAATCTCATATGGACTCCCGCGATACAGGTTCTCCTAGTGCGGGGTCCAATGTACTCGCTGTTGTAATTTTTTTTTGTATTTAATAAATAAATAAAAAATAAATAAATAAATAAATAACTATGTAATGAGGGTTGAGCGCTGTTGTCTAAGATACAGGTTTTGTAACCTAGTTCAGACACAGATGTTTAGGCTGATCCAAATGTATAAATGAATTCGTATCTACTTTTACTGTAATTTCCAGTGCTGAGTTTGTTACAATCATGGTTATGCAATAAAGTTATTATTATTATATAAAATATAAGTTCTAGTCGCAATACCTGGCTTCCCTCAGCGCATATGCAGACTGCACCAAAACGACACCACATACAATAGCGGGCAATCTCGCCACGTAACAAGCCAGCTCGGCGCCACCGTATACACCTTGAAGACCCTGAAATATTAAGGTATTTTAATAAGAGATTGGAACTACCAGTTGGATTTGAAAGTTCTTTTTTTTTTTATACAACTTAGAATGGCAAATAAGCTGACGGTCCACTTGATGGAAAGAAGTAACCGTCGCCTATAGACATGAGCAGTACCATGGAAATAACAGAATATACTGTTTCACCCATGATATCCCCCATGCGTTACCATTCCTGAGGACTTAGATGTTATTCCTCTGTACCCTGTAAATTCACGCCATATCCCACCCTTCAAACCGAAACACAGCCATGCAAACACAACTGATTTACGGTTTAAACACGAATGGGACAGAGGTATCCAAGCAAATGACTTTTGTACAAAGTCTCCCTCTGGTACTTTTTGTATTTAACATTTAATTTCTTGAAGATGGTTATAGGCTTTTCAACATCACGATACGACTAAAGCCGCGGTATGGTGATGATTATAATGATACAGCCGTTAACTATCCACTGCAGAACATAGGACCCCATAAGAGCGGTTTTACCAGTAATTGCTACGCTTTGCACGCGGGATGGCAACCGCAGTTAGGCTTTGGTGATATTTTAAGAGGGACACTGCTGCCCATCCATCGACCATTAAGTTCCCTTAGTTGCCTCTTACGACACCCACGGGAAAGGAAGGATTGGCTCATCGAGCGAAGTGAGACATCGACGGTCTGCTACTGCGGCGATAGACAAGAACTTTTACTTTTACTCTATATATATATATATATATATATATATATATATATATATATATATATATATATATATATATATATATATACCGGTGTGTTCCTGCACCCATAAACGTTTATACATGCAAAAAGGGAAAGGCGCAAACAACAACTATTAAAATATAAAGTAAACTTACCCAATGAGGGGGAGAAGGGCTTGTTAGTAATGCGGATTATCAGTTCCATTGCTAATAATATACCCTAACAGGTCGACCTCCCCGTGGTCTCCCCTGGAAACCATCGTGCTGAATTCCAAATGTATTCATCACGATGGGCTAACAGACCTGCCTTTTCATCCTCACCTATCATCTATCACTGGTGCCCCGCCAGCGTACACCGTTAGCGCAGGCGGGGTTACCATTCCATTATCATCCATTAAAAAAAAAACTTACCCAATGACTAATGGACATATAGAAGACTAGAGCACATTCTGGAATTAATACCAAAATTACCGCAATCAGCCACGCCAACAGGTATCTGTTGTTCTTCTGTAACCGAAAAATAAATACACAATTTAATTTAACATTCTAAACGTACCCCGTAATATATAACGTAATGGCCATAATTAAATTGCGTTCCATAAAAAATCCATTACAATATCGGAACTAAGATATTCGGCAAAAGTTATTATTCATAACTGTTTAATTATTAAACAAGTGGCAAACAGTGGCCGCTCCAAATGAAACTGTGTTCCACAAAAAAACGGGCCGCAATTGTGACAAAATCAGTTAAGTTAATTTATAAACTCAACTGCCAAACCGATTTTGATAAAACTTCTATGGGACCACAATCTGTAAGTATATCTTTTCTGATGAAAAAAGATTTTTTCAAATCGATTTACAATTGATGGAGTTATGAGAATAACAAACATTAAAGTAAAAACATAAAACCGAATTGTGAATCTTCTCTTTTTGAAGTCTGTTGGAAATGAAAAACTATTTATTGATTTTTTTTATACAACTTAGAATGGCAAACAAACTGACGGCCCACCTGATGGAAAGTGTTAACCGTCGCCTATAGACATGAGCAGTACCATGGACATAACAGAATATACTGTTTCGCCATCCATCAAAATAACCGATTTTATCACAATTGATGTCGATTTTTTTGTGAGATACAATCTTTAATTATGTAAATACATTTTTGCTAAGAATTTTCTTTTCTAAATTTTCAGTAGCAGATACCAATTTTGTAGTATTTTAGATAATTATTTTTGATAATTGACAACAAACACCCTACATGGTGGTTTTTGTGTCAATGTTAATATACAAATACCTATTATATGTACTTAAATAAATTACTTGTGTATCTACTTACCGAGATAAGTCCGTGCACGAGTATGACGGTGGCCGATATGACGATGCAGTAGCACACCATCAGCAGTGCGGAGGGTATTGGTAGCCCGCTCTGAGATTCTACCACCCACACTATCTCATAGATTAGAGCTATCGCGTACGCCACCTGCAAATAATTGTGCATTGAAGTTTAAATAAATAAAGTAAATAAATAAGGCTACCTAAATATATGTATATACTTTTAAATTTAACCTGATTTAACACCTGATGGTAACCACTTACCATCAGGTGGGCCGTATGCTTGTTTGCCACCTCAGTGGTATAAAAAACAAATTATAATTATTTTAAGCTCTCAATAGTTTTTATGTGATATATGCTTATTTATTTATAAATTCATATTTTATGATATTGACTATCAGACAAGAACGGCTAACAGATTTTGTTGCTAAAGTATTGTAAATGATTTATTTATTTAAGACGCACCAACAGTAGGTTAATAAATAAATAAATTATAATTTTTGACAATTAGATTATATTAATTTAATTATAGTGTAAATTGGTAAAAATACAGAATAGATAGGTATTGTTGTAGTGGATTCGATCGATCGATAAAAACCACTGAATGAATTTAAATGAAATTTAGTACACGTAGAAGCTATACTCTAACTTAACATATCGTCATAGTCGTAGAATACTGACGGATCTGACAAAGATTACATATAAAGATCCGTCAGTGTTCTACGACTATTTATTTATTTATGCTTTATTGACCACATTACAAAAAAAACATGTCTGGTACAAAAGGCGGACTTAATACTATATAGCATTCTCTCCCAGTCAACCTTTGGCTAAACAGAAATTTTAATATGCGGTGAAAAAAATTACAACACATACAATAGAGATTATATAAATATACATACATGAATATATTAAACAAATATTACATAAATATACAAATATGTAATAAAAATACATATATACAAATATAAATATACATATAAAAATATACCTACATACTTATAGATTATATACGACTATGACGATATCGTCATAATGTTCTATATAGAACATTTTATATACTCACATACGAGGATAAGACCGTGAAATACAGCTAATATTAAAAACATGAAACATTTGAGAGAATGTATGGATGGATATTTGTTACTTTTTCGTACAAGAAACTATTTTTTTTTTTTACTCAACAAGTAAACAGTTCATTTGATGGGAAGTGGTTACCGTGGTCCATGAACACTTGCAACACAAAGAAGTTGCTTGTGCGTGAATTAGAATGAAATTTGGAACAAGGATAGATTATATCCTAACTTAACACATAGGATACTTTATATATTAATTAATACGGGCGAAGTCGCAGGATACAGTTAGCATTATACAGGTGATAGTAAGTTTGTTTATTTGTTATCTTTCGGTGCTTTATCAACCTGACCACTCGTCATAAATTTTAGTATATACGTAGCATTCGGGATAGAAACGGATAAAGACTTTTTTTTATATTTTATTCCTGGACAAAGTCTCAAGTGGAAACTAGTAAATAATAAATGAATACATTCGAACATAGCCAAATGCTATATTAATCTAAACTATTGGATTTAGATTTATCACCATAAAATGTATGTCCTTCTTTTTTATTCGAACTCCATAAATAGTTCACGTGTATCGCTCGCCATAAGTTATAATAGCAAACATACCTAAGTTCACTCTCACCGGCGAGCCCAGTTTCATTCTAATGACATAACTGCGTGTGGTTTGACCTTAAAATCTGTCCAGTGTTAATTGAGCCCTACAGTTTTTAGTGTTAACTGGAACGAAAAAGGGAATGCAGCTCTTGTCAATCTGGACACATGACATTTCTGAACATGAGCTCTTTTTAAGTAATTAGCGTTAGTTATTTTACATTGGTTTGTAAACTACAAATATTATTTCACAAAAGTTGAATTTCTCAATTGGATTGTATTTTTTTTTTGTATACGAATATATAAGTGTTTGTATAAGCTTACTTGCTTTTATTAATTTAAAAATTTACTCTTATATTATATTCCAGTTATTTCCAAATTGATTGTAAATGAAAACGAAATTTTTGTTTATATTTTTATTGTGTGTATAACAAAAACATAGTGAGTTCATTAATTTCCCTTCACATGTATATGTAATGTAGAAATAAATAAATAAAAAAAGAAAACATGTTTTAAAAATAATAAAATTAAATTATTTCTTTAAAACCGTTTGCAATATTATTTTAAGCGTCTATAACTATTAACCGTTTAGATCATTATAACTTCGTTAGTGAGAAACTAATTATAAAAATAATTATTTAATATGCAGTAATTAAAAAATAATAAAGATCAATTATAGTTAGTAATGTTTCAAATTTTGAATAATTTATACCTATAATGAACTTGTTCTTTAAATAAATAACATCATCCTCATCATATCAACCGTTGATTGTCCACTGTTGAACATAAACCTCCCCCATAAGGGCTGGGCTTTGCCAGTAGTTGCCACGCTTGGCAGGCTGGTTGGCAACTACAGTTAAGATTTTGTGATGTTTTAAGAATATATATTTTCAAATAAATATATAAAGTAATTTTTATTCCTTTTATAAAGACTGACTATTCAGTAAAAATATTTTATCTTCAAATTTAATTGCTATGGATCAAAACAATTAAAACAACTGGTCAGGTGGCCAGTAAGCCTGTTTCAACTGCCTGCCGGTTGTCCTTGCTTTTGCAAAGGTGCATATATGTACCTACATGTGGATAAAAAATAGCTTTAGACCAGCAGATTAATCTCTTTATTAAGAAATTTACGATCTCGTCTTAATTGTAAAGTTATGTTATTGCTTCGCAATGACTTTCATCGTGTATAAATTTACATGGGACTTAAACAGGAATAAAATTTACATTGGATTAAAAAAAAAAGCAATATCAGACAGATATTACATATCAGATAGATTTTTTTCTTTTATTAAGAATCTAAAACTGGTAAAGATTTTTCTTTCGTAAAAATTAAATGAACTATACAGCATAGAGAAGGACATAGCTTACTTTTTATACTAGTCAGTATTTTTATATTTCAGTTACGCAGACAAAGTCGCGGGTCAAAAATAGTATATTATACAAAGAGATTCTACACAGACAAAACCGCGAAATATAGCTTGTAGAAAGAAATGCTTCTCCAATGATATTTGTAAAAATACTTATATTTTTTTTTTATATCACAAAGGTGGCAAACAAGCATACAGCCGGTCTGACGGTAAACGGTCACTGTAGCCTATAGACGCTTGCAACACTAGCGATGTCAGTAAGTACGTGTAACATAGTGTAAGTACTTTGTTTCACTGAATTTATTAAGAAACATGTTTATTATTTGTACAAGCCACCAAAAATATAAATATACATACCAACGCATATGCCGCTATGAATCCAGATGCAGCGGTAACACTGCAGCAGAATAATCTGCTCACAGCCGGTTTCATCCGCATCTTAGGCGCTGTTTCCACGTCACTTAGCTCGTTGCTCGTAGACATTTTACCATTTAATTCTGCTAGCTCCTAGACTATAATCTTCGTTGCATCACTGACTTTTATAATTGTAAATAGTATTAAATTCATTCGAGTATTAAATCCATCTTTTGAATAGTGTTTGAATGCATTTCTTTCGCACCATACTTTAGTCTGTTAGTTAGTTATCTTGTCTTTAATTGGCAATTGTTTTAATTGTTATATCTTATTGTTTTTAAATTATAACATATTTATTTTAAGCGTAAAATAAATTGTTATACTTCATCTTCTTGTAACAAAAGTAGAGTCTAAGTCTTCTTGAATTTTGATTTCTTCCAAAGGCCTGAAAAGAAATATTTTCATAATCAATATTTATTAGAAAATATTTTTAAAATGTAATCCTATGAATATTATGAAAAGGATGAAATTAACGATGAGTGGATAGATGGTTGGATGTTTATTAGTCTTTTACGCAAAAACTACTAAATGAATTTGAATGTTTGGTACACGTAAGTAGGTAGGTTCTATCCTAACTTAACATAGAGGATACTTTATGTACTTATTGATTCACGCGGGTAAAACTGCAGGATACAGATACCTTTATAATAAAAAATCCGGAATGATAAGTTAAGCTGTAAGTCAGCATAAATAGTATTGTAAAATAATCTTCTTCAGATAAAAAATTAATTGTAACTTTAATGTGCATGATATTTATAATGATAGGTATAAATAAAAACTCAGATCTAAAATAATTTTATTTTTGCAATATTTTATAAATTTTCATAATCTTGTAATTATTATGGAAAAAAAGATTTTAATATGTAATACTGTATCTCCCTGAAACACTAACTTTTATTTTTTTATATCCAATAAAGAAAACAATCTTTAGTTTAGTTAACGTAAATTGTACCTACTTAAAGTTTTAAAAAAATTCGTTATAATGCCAAAAAATTTTATACTGCAATTTTATAGTATATTTTATTATATTAAAAGAATTAAGTACCCATAAATCGATAGTGTTCGATCGACCTTGTCCTTTATTGTAAACCGCAGAGAATAAAATTTTACGTTATTTAACTGTTATTTGATAATGAATTGAATAAAATGACTATGTATAAGTAAATGAAGGTTCAGTAATTTAATAATATAAATATTCTAGTCTTTAAAAGACCCATTCTTAATAGCAAAGTTAGTATGAGTCGTTTGGCATAGAAGTAAACTACATCTGTTTCAAATAGGGATCGTCAAAATCGGTTTACAATTTTTTTTATCTATTGCTTCTGTCACTATGTTTTAATGCGACAACCTTCATATCTTTGTTATATTGACTATCTTATACATTTACTGAGTTTTTCTTTTATAGTGAAATTGTTAATTTACGTACGCACAATAAAAAAAAATCATGACGAAAAAGATTATTTTTTAAATTTGTGAAAAAGTTAGCAAATTTCCATATCCTTTCTCGTGGTTATCCGTATTAGACGATTAAAGGAACTTATGGTCAAGGGTTTTTTTTAATGGGTGATAATGGAATAGTAACCCTGCTCGCGCTATCGGTACGAGTATATGCTGGCGGGGCACCAGTGAGGGACGATAGGTGATGAAAAAGGCAGGTCAGTTGACCCATCGTGTCGAATTCCACTAGAATTAACCACGATGGTTTCAGGGAGAACCGCGTGGAGGGCGACCTAATAGGGTATATTGTCAGCAATGGGTTAGTGAGACCCCATTACTAACAATCCCTTTCCCCCCTATGGTCGAGGGATGGACAGCAGCGTCCCCAAAGGTTTAATTGCCAACCCGCCTGCCAAGCGTAGCAACTATTGGCAAAACTTAATCAAATCTGAGGGAGGCCTATGTCCAGCAGTAGACGGATAATGGCTGAGATTATGATGATTCCATTTTATGTCAATTTCACATTTATAATACTAGTAAGGATATATGGTATCTATGAAGGCATCTAACAATTTTTTTAACAGCTTTATTTGGCGTTATAAAAAAGTTTGAAGTACTAAACAATTAGATACATAGACAATCATGATGAAATCATGTCTTTGGCTACGGAGTCATATAAAAGCAACAAAAAAATAATACGCATGAAATATAGAGTATAAATTCGTGTAAATGTACTTTATAACAGTGGCAATGACCCACATTCTCATATTAGCTAACAGTATCAACGATCACACTAAATACTTTAGTACATTTAATTACTACATTACAAAGTAATAAATAATTCGCAAATAGGAAAATAAAAATTGTGAACAAAGCGTTTTTTTTTTTCAATGAATAACAACGAAATGGTATACGCTGGCGAGGCACTAGTGAGGGATGATAGGTGAAGATGAAAGCAGGTCAGTTAGCCCATCGTGACGAATACACTGGAATTAACGCGATGGTTTCCAGGGCCAGACCATGTAGAGGTCGATCTGCTTGGGTGTATTGCTAGCAATAGGCCTGGTAGTCCGCGTTACTAACAATTCCTTTCCCCTTGATCATAGGGTTATCGGTAATATAACAACCATGACAGTACGACCGTGTTGTAATTAATAGTTTTTACTTCTTTTAATAAATTTCGCATTGCTCGACTAGTTTTGGATTCGATAGGATAATTAGGACATCCACAAATTTAATACGTAAAGTCAATGTAAATTATATAATAATTACAATACAGTATAACACATAATGCCGTGTACGTCTCTGCATAGAATAGGCCATCCCTTCCTTTCGCGTGGGTGTCGTAAGAGGCGACTAAGGGTACTTAATGTTCGTGGGATGGACAGCAGCCTCTTAAAACATCACCAAAGTCTAAAGTCCCCCAATAAGAGAAGGCCTGTGTTCGGCAGGGAACAGTTAAAAGCTAAAATGTCGATGTGTTTGGAGGGAAAAGGATTGTTAGTAATGGGCTCTAATAGTCCCATTACTGGCAATATACCCTCTCAGGTTGACCTCCACGCGATTTCCCCTGGAAACCATCATGTTTAATTCTTGTCGAATTCATCGTGGTGGGCCAACTAACCTGCATTCATTCTCACCTATCATCTTCCACTGGTGCCTGGTCGGTGTATACCAATAGCGCGGGCGGGGTTACCAATCCATTTTCACCCATGAAAAAAACATGTCGATGCCCACAGCCACTTTCTACCATCGTACGGCTCGCCATCGACAGGGAGTTCATCCTCATGTCCTACTCCTCTCCTCCTCCTGTCCTACTCCTCTTAAGGAAAGGAGATAGCAAACTAACCCCCGGCAGAAGTACAGTCGAATACGGTAGAGGGCTCCAGGCCCCCCTATAAATAATATGTTAATAATAATATGTCAAAGTCTATGGTCAAATAGAGAATAAATTAATTAGCTGATGCCCACAGCCATTTTCTACCATCGTACGGCTCGCCATCGACAGGGAATTCATCCTCATGTCCTACAGCCTCAATGGTCGCGTACTGCGCGGTTTCAGAGATGTTTCCTCCCACGAACACACAGGTTGTGGAATGAGCTCCCTGCCGAGGTTTTCCCAAGAGACTACAGCATGGGGTTCTTCAAAAGGGGGGTAAAGAGGTTTCTTCAGGGTCGGCAAAGCACGCGTAATACCTCTGGTATTGCAGGTATTCATAGGCGACGGTAACCACTTACCATCAGGTGGGCCGTATGCTTGTTTGCCACCTCAGTGGTATAAAAAAAAAATAATAGATACTGTAGAGAATGGATAATTTTATTTGAACTATTGACATAGTTTATTTTTTATAGAGGTCATTCAAATAATTTGTCTCGTATTATTCGAAACTCAAATACGTAATTGAATTTAAAATACCATTTTTGTACATGTCATAGGTATTTGTGACGATTAAAATTGCTATTTTTCTTTACGGAATGAAGGTAATGGTGATAACAGTGGATTAAGAATAGTTATATTCTTGTCATTTTACTCTTATCCCACTGCTGGGCATGGGTTTCCACACATTATAGGGAGAAATAAAAAAATACTAAAATAGGGTTTCTCCCATAAGAAGAATAGAATAAATAATGTTATACAAAAGCTTACTAGCAAGGCGGCTTAGTATAAAATATTATTTTCTACTATTCTTCTTTTATATATTTTTTTACAACACAGAGGGCAAACGAGCATGCGGCTCACCTGATGGTAAGTGACTACCACCGCCCATGATCGCCCACAACACCAACGGCATTGAAGGTATGCTGCCGGCCTTTTAAAAAGGAATATGCTCTTTTCTTAAAGGTTACGTTATATTCTGCTTTATGCTCGTAAGCATCTCATATATAGTGTTAAGTCCGCCATATACATTTTCTAGGTGTATTAAAGTTTAATAAATTAATAAATAAATATAGTCAAACGTCATTGGAATGAAATGGAGTGTCACTTTGTATTCTCATTCCATCATATGGAAAATAATGCTTATCTGTGGAGGGAGGGTTTACTAGCAATGAGATGTAGCGGACTCATTGCTAGCAACACCAAGTCAGGTCGATCTCGTGGTCCACCTTGAAATCTATCGATCTGAATTTGTTACAATGTACCACTGTAACGAATGACCCTTCTCCTCACCTTTCGTCTGTCACTAGTACCCCGCCAGCTTATACCAAAAAGGCCGGCAGCACACCTGCAATGCCGTTGGTGTTGTGGGTGATCATGGGCGGCGGTAGTCACTTACCATCAGGTGAGCTGTATGCTCGTTTGCCCTCTGTGTTGTAAAAAAAATGTAAATTGGACTCTCTTTTTCGTGCTAAGCCTCTCATGCATATACTAGCTGCTCAACGTATACCAATAAAGACGGCGAGATTACCATTCCATTTTCATTTTATCAAAAAAAAAAAAAACTAAATACTAAGAACACTGCTTATCTACATAATATTCATATGTAGAGTGTTGTCGAGGTCATTGATCGTTTAGGTACATACAACAAATTAAGTTGATGTAGGTAGCAAGTTGGCAACAACGTAATTGCATACAATACAATTCCCAGCATTGAAAAAGTTATGGATACTCTCATGGGATTGTGGCAAACAACTTAGCTTGTCTTATATTAGTTCAATGTAACTATTAATCGACATACGGAAATGAGTATACGCATATAAAATCGGAGAACGTTCGTATTCTCAATTCATATATTCTACTATGAAAATTGCGGGAAAAACGGAAGGAGATTGTTAATAATGGAGCCCTATTGCTGACAATACACTCTAACAAGGGGGAAAGGGATTGTACGTAATGGAGACTGAGAATCCTATTGCTAGCAATATACCCAATCAGGTCGACCTCCTCGCGGTTCCCCCTGGAAACTATCATGGTTAATTCCTGATGAATTCATCATGATGGGCTAACTG